CTCATCACATTCATTATATTCAAATAGCTATCCTTCACTATTTGTCTCCATCATTCAAATCTTTGTATAACTTAATCACATTAGTTTATTACTTATAATACTACTGTGAAAATAAAATACCTTTAACGAAATTTACTAAAATTCTTTATTTGACTTATTAATAGCACAAGTTAAAAATTTAATACCGTTATATGTTAAAGTTTCGGGATTTTTTAAATAAAAATAAATATTTTTTTTTTTATATTAGGCGACATAATCATTTGGCGATAAAGTAATCTACCACGCGACATTGGAATGTCTTGAGTGAATTACCGTCTTTATCGCGAAACCAATCCCAAGAGATACATAACATCATTTCGAAGGAGAGAAAATTTAAACTCTCTTGAGCCGTGAGGTGAAAAGAGAACGAAAGAAAGAGAAAAGGAGAGGAAGCAGCAAAAGCAGCGTAGAACGCGTAGTATTGCTGCAGAGCCTTGGGGTGATTTATTTGAGTTAATTCCAATTCCATTGGAGCCGCGAGGTGACGGGGGAGGTCGAACGGCCGGTAAAGGAGCGGTTGGTGAAGAGTCAGAGAAAGAGATGAAAGAGAAAGAGGAGACAAGGTGGGTGGGTAAGGGGAAGGGGCCGGTGGATATTCTTATGCAATTTGCCAGAAAGGTTCAAGAACCCAGGAGATCCCGCAATTTATCTTGCCTTATGTTACGCCGAGCCAAGGCAACGGAAGATAGATGGCGTCACTGCTTTCAACCCCCTTGTCCCACCCTCCCAAGACCCACCTCCCCCATACGTATAGCTCACCGACCACCTCACCCCCAGCCAATGAGAAACGACCGCGGTGGCCATCTTGGATGGAGAGTTATTGAACGAAAAAGATGAGTAAGAAACTTGTTATAAGGGTGCGTTCTCTCCAAGGTGCTCCTTAGTGTTGGGACTTGTCCGGACAGAGATTCCGAAAATAAGAGTCAGTCGAACTAAGGGTGGAGGACGCTGCTACTGAACACCACACTTCCGAGGGGATGTTCGTGCTATATTGATTAATTGCTTTACCGTGCTCTAAGTTACTTTCGCACCACCTGCTATGAGGCACTCACCGGGTCAAAAAACTTTGGCTTTCAATCAGATTAATTATGTTATGATTTAATAACACAACACCAAGTCTTTTATTTCAAGGATTCTTTCCTCTAGATTTTTCTATCACAGTGTGAAACCACTATGATTCAATTGGTAATTTAATGTACAATGCATTTCCTCTATGTATACAGTTTCTGCTTTTATGAATGTTTTACGAGTTTTTTTATCGACATGCATAAAGTGTCATCAAATGGACATCACATTGCGGTAATACACTCCATCAATAAAGCATATTATTGAATGAAAACAATACAAACTTCAGATATATTTGTCTACCTCATATGAATTTTGTTGAAAATCCTCGTAATATGATAATAAAATAAAAGACTATTCTAATCTAATTGAAATATATCAGCAAGTGATGTTACCAAACTGCGATATCCCCGCGTTTTTTCTATTAGACCATAAGCTTGGACGAAATTCCGCCCGATGGCGTTGGTGTAAAACGCCGCGAGTGCCATCTACTAAAATCCGGCTGAACCTTAAGGTTCCCACGTGCTTGTACCCCACCACGGGTTTTGAAAGGCTGTTGGATAGAGAAATGGGGACATATCTCTGGAGTGTGTCGACCTGACTGAATTATGGTGCATGGTGGGGGAGTATGTTGATGCCAACTACAGCGCAGAATCTCATCGATCATTTGAACATTCTCTGTGTTTTACGCCGCCGTGTTGTACTGTGTAGTAAACCTCTCCTCTTTTCTCTCGTCTCTACTACTCGTCATTCTCCGATGATTCCTTTTCCCCTTTAGTCTCTTAACATCGCAGTATAGTATCCCCCACCACTGAGCATTCTGGTGGCCGTCGACCGGCATTGCTCCTCGAGCATCACGAGGGATTCCTTCCTATTATATTTATGTGGCGACTTGTGGCCAGAACGGTTTATGTGTCGATTTAGCCCTATTAAACACTTGTTTCACATTGTGATCATTACGTTTGATCGTGTTTTTATGGATCATTGTAGTTTCTATTGACGCAATATTGTATTGCAGAGTGATGCATGATTCCTGGATTTTAATTGTTTATTTAAACAAAATATTTAAACAATTTATTCAATTATCTGGATATATTTTTTCTACTTAAAATCTCTGCAAGTTGTGAGTGCGCGAGTGCATTTCGCTGATGAGGGCAAAATGCGTACACGCATCCCCCTCGCGTGTCTCCTGACACTATATTACATATCAAGGTCACACCAGCGTAAGAATCCCGCCAACGGAAATTAACAACATTTGTGAAATACCAGTTGACTGGATTCCAAGGAGGATCGAGAACACTAATAACCCTTATGTTATAGTGTGTTCTAAACACATTTCGGTTTCGTAATACAGTAGGCGAGTTTTGTTATAATCATTTCTTATTGAAAACGGTGTTTTTACATCAATATATATTTACATTTCTCCAACTTGTTGTTTATAGTGACGAGGAGATTGATACTCGACTTGTTATTTGCTAACGGCAAAAAGTTATTTGAATTCCAAACTATAAAAAATTAATTAATTTACAACAAATCGCATCAATTCAAGTTGTGACTAGAGATTATTTGCTCAAAAAAAGTACTAACACTTAAACTTATGTACAGATTCAAAATAAGCAAATAATTAGTTGAAAATTTGCCAGATCTGATTGTTGTTAATTTTACAAATCTTACATCGTTTGAGATATATTTTGCTTGCTATGACAACATTTTTCTCGCTCTAGTTAATGTTCAAAATTTATCAACAATACTTCCAAGAAAAAATTCATTGTTTTTATTGGCATTGATTAAACTTTGTTTAAATGATAATCTATATATACAACGTTTATTAGTTCAACACTGTAACAAACATTGTGTGAACCGTATTTAACACATAAATCATTTTTTTCTCTAACAGAAATCATATTTGTTGTAAAAAATGGTTTTATAAATCAGTATCCTAATTCGTTTCTTTGAATTACAATTAATAAAAATAATAAAAGATCAATTCGACATGGAACAGCAATAATTTTGTTTTGTGTCCTCTTTTCCCTACGCCCTATTATTTGTCATTCTGTCCTCATCTAATGCGGGCACAGACAACAACTCTGGCGTAACGATCGCAAAACAAAACATAAAGCGTTTAATTCACCAAAATTATTGCGTGAATTTTTCAGCTATTGAAAGAATTATTTTAATTCTTAAAATTATTTAGAAATATTTTGAACAATAGAAATAATACAGTCGTCAATAACGCTGTCATATAGATATATAAGTATAATAGTAATATAATAAATAAAATATCTGTATATACTTGCAAGCATAACTTGTTATATGTACATTGTGTAACTGTTTGAAATTTATTGTTTCAGGTAAGTGACGTTGGATATCGCCTCAAGAGCTGCTTCCTACACCTACGTATAATCAACTCGATATAATGTAAGCGTCTACTACAAATTATATTGTATTATTGATATGACATTTAACTTCTTCATCAAAATATTATTTTCATTAATAAATCAAATTATTTTGACAAATAGCTTCTTTGATTAATAATTTATAATTATTTTCTTTTTAATTTAGTGCATTATTAAAATTTCATTCGATTGCAATGAGGTCCGCAATTAAAATTCGAAAAATTTTGATGTATACAGTAATATGAACTTCCAAGTATTATAAATTCTAGTATTATAAATGCCTCTCCCTGTGCACGTACATACAGGTATCAATGGGTTCTCATTCGATGCTTTTAGATTGGTCGGTGATTTCAAATCCACCAAAATGTTTATCCAACATAATGAAATAATTTTTTCTGAGTATGACAATGCGTATATAATTAATTTAAATAAACAAACCTATATAATTAATTTAAATAAATAATCAACTCGAAAATTTAACAGGAATAACAACCAATATACGCACTATTAGGGTAGGCCAAAAAAGATGGTTAAATTTTTTTTTTGTTACATTAAAAATATTTATGAAGGTGATGAGAAAAAAATATCCGGTAAAATTTGAACTCTTAGTATCAATATTGAGAGGTAGCTATTTACTACAATTTTCAATTTCCTATATTTCCCATAAACTAATCGTTTGAAAAAACTTCCAAGTCTTACAATCATATATTCACATAAAATGAACAATTTTACAGAAAGTAGAACAGAGTGGATTACTTTCATTCTTACCAAATTTACACATTTGGCGGTAGAAGGTCAGAAAATTGAAATTTTAAAATTAAATGTTAATGAATATACTAAATCTAAATAAATTTGTTTACTTTAGCTGGGCAAAGACTCGTTTACCTCCAGCGGCATATTATTAGACAATCATTGAATTTTGTATGTTTGACAAATAACGCTAGATTCTAAATTCTAAATATGCTGCGAACCGATTATACTCAAGACCAACTTTGCCCTTTTCTTAGTCCAAGATTTGTTTTAGCAACCCTAGTCATGGGAATCAATTTTATTTTTATATTATAAAAATTCTATAAGACGTGTTTTATAAAAAATGTACTTAATTGATGCAATAAAATTTTCGTGCATAAAATGGAAGTTTAGTCAAAATTTATTTCGACTGGAATATACGTAAGACAAATATCGAAATACATTATTAGGGCCGAGTCAGGAGAGAGGAAGGTATGATATCCGGATAGATACACGAGTTTAGGTCCGGACGAAAATAACCTGTTTTGAAAAGGTTGAATCGATGTGTGGGGTTTTATTCATATCAGAATGAGATTTGATCAAATTAAGGCAATTGGAACAACATCTGTAGAAAAAATACGAAGCATCATTCTTTATAATTATTAAAGACATTCATTGAAAAAATAAATACATTTTATGACGATAAAAAATTTCGCGTAATTGATTTTTTATTTTTCTGAAAAAATACTCATATGTTACCTATAGGTAAAGATGGCAAACATTGGTAATTGGTCTGACCTTGGGTTCCTTATAATTAGCTAACTTAGACAGCTAAATATTTCTCAGGCATAGAAAGAATATACTATCTATTTTAACTCGAAAATTACTGGTTACACCAATGTTTTGGTGTTTACTGTTCATTGGTTTTGATAGATATTTTCAAAAGACTAGATTACAAGTTACAATGTCTGATAAACAACGGCATAAAATTCATTTTTAATCTGGAGCGCGATGAACATATTACTCCTCAGAGACGCTCTTTACAGTGGCTTACAGTTAAATCGAAGCGATGTTACTTTTTGGCTTGTTTCTTGTATAAACTTTTTAGCTCTGGTGAACCTAGTTTCCTCAGAAGCATGTTCGTCAAAGAATCACCTGATATAAGATGTTCTGAGAGATTGGCTGCTAAACATAACAATGTCACGTTCAAAATTCCTAATTTTTCAACTGCGTCCTATGAACACTCATTCTTAATTTCATCAATACCCCTTTGACAAGAATTACCACCTGATGTCATCAATGCACTCAGCATTGACACTTTCAAGACAAAAGCCTACGAATTTTCCCATGAAACTTTGAGCTTAAGGAGAGCTGGATACCCGGTATCATTGATGACGATTCAAATCGTTAAAATTGGTGTTATTTGCAGTGGTATAATTTTAACAGTTGGTGTAATCGAAGTTGTATTGTTTCGAGTTTAGAGGTCTTACATTTATTGACCATATTATTAATCTTAACTAGGCATTTTCACCTTACTATACTACCACAATTTTTGAAGTTGACATGCACTGAAAGAAACAAAAAGGATTATTATTTAAATATCATAAAAAGTATTATCGTATCAAAGACGGTATTAGTTTTCCTTCTGTCTCATTTTATATTTTTTGGAGAAATCCCATGAAAATATTCATTGTAAGCTTATTTTAAAAACAGTCTTCGTAACTTTGTTAAGTAAGTTAATATTCTTACCACAATAATTTTATCCATTCTATCCCTAGTTTATATAAAAGGAAATTGAGGAAGAACTTATTGAGACGCTATTTTATTCAAATTTCGAGAAATAGACTTTTAAAGCGCTACTGAGGCGCTAAAAATCAAATAGGTCCTCCAATTTCGGACATAAAAATCTCAAGTCATGACTTTGAGAGGTTGTTGAGGATTTAAATACGATAGTTCTAAAAAAAAAATTAGAAAAACGGTTCACCCTAAAGGCCATCCCTGCAACTTCCCGCTCATTTTGTACTTAAACGCTTCAAACTACACATTACGTTTTTGAGCTCTTCGAGTTCAAAAATATTATTTTTGCGTCAATTTGAGCTCTTCGAGCTCAAAACTCTAATAGCAGTTTAAAGACACAATTTTTTGAATTTTCAAACGGCAATAACTTTTGAATGAATGAACCGATTTTCACGCGGTTGGCGGCAATCGACGCAGTTTTTAAAGCTCCATGGAAAATTTTCTAGTTTAAATCGATCGAGCCATGAATTTCGAAGTTATTACAAAAAAACACTTTTTTCGATTTTTTTCGACAACGATATCTCACGAACGCATCAACCGATTCTAACGTTTTTGGTGGCGATCGATGGGGGTTTTCAAGGTTAAGAGCTGATTAGTTTTTGAGACCGATCGGTTCAGCCAATTCGGAGATATTTAAAAAAAAATTTTAAAAAACAACTTTTTTTTTTCACTTTTTTTGCATTTTCTCGAAATCTACCGGTCCGAATCGGTTCAAATTTTCAGAAAATCTAAGTTTAGTAAAGCCCTTTCGAACATCAGGAATACGGTTGACCGTAAAGGCCATCCCTGCAACTTCCCGCCAATTCTATACCTAAATGCTTGAAATCGCACTTATGACGTTTTAGAGCTCTTCGAGCTCATAAATACAATTCGAGTATTATTTTGAGCTCTCCGAGCTCAAAAAAGTAGCTTTTTTATGCTTTTGAGCTCTTCGAGCTCAAAAGTTTGATAAAAGTTTGATAAAACACTATTTTTTTAATTTTCAAACCGCAATAACTTTTGAATGAATGAACCGATTTTTATACGCAGTTGGCGGCATTCTACGCAGTTTTTTGAGCCTCATAAAGAATTCTTAAGTTTCAATTGGTTAAACTAGAAATTTCGGAGTAATTCCGAAAAAACACTTTTTTCGGTTTTTTTTCGTTCACGATATCTCTTGAACGAATCAACCGATTTTGACCGGATTGGCGGCAATCGACGTGGTTTTTTAAGGTTGAGAGCTGATTAGTTTTTGAAATCAATCGGTAGAGCCGTTTAAAAGTTATTCCAAAAAAACCACTTCTGAAAAAAATTTTTTTCCTATTTTTTCCTATTTTTTTTTTGGAGATTCCTCTAAATTTCTCAAAATCTATCGGTCCGAATCGGTTCAAATTTTCAGGAAATCTAAGTTTAGTGAAGTCCTTTCGAATGGCACCAACCGCGATGAAATCGGTTCAACCGTTCAAAAGTTATAAGAGGTTTACATACTTACACACACACACACACACACACACATACATACATAGTGACACCCTCGCGGGAATAGTCAGGGAAGCTTCCTAGGACCTTAAAACGTCGAGATCTGATGAAAACTCGATTTTCGAAAAACGGGGTAAAACCAATAACTTCCCGATTTTTGAAAATCTGAGATTTTTAGCGGGAAGTTAAAAAAAAAAAAACAATGAAAGTTAGACCTTAAAGGCGCTAGTGATACGGTAATTTTCGACTTGGGTAGTCTTATTTCGATTTCTGGTAAATTTTCCATTAATTTCAGTTATAAAAAATTTATATTCTGACGCCTAGATTATTAATATTCTTGCTTTCCAACGAAAAAGTCATTTTTATAATTCAAGTATTACGATAATAGTAGTTGAATAAATTTCTTTGAATTGAAGAAAACTTTTTTGGTCCAAGAACAAATTTTTGAAGACAAAAATGTTTTTATTTTAATTAAGCCTTTTTTCTGTGTGGAAAATCTCAAAAAAACTGTTTTAAACTTAATAATGTACTTGAAAATTTAATAATTATGCTTACAAGGTTATCGGGAATCCGCGACATAATATTTAGCTAATAATTAACCAATGTTTATAAATATGTCATTTTAAAAATATATGTGACGAAAAAATTAATTATTATCAATTATTTTTCTGGAGTTATTTTTAGCACGCGTTATTATTTCATGATATTATTTTCAATTAAATTATTTGATACGTCGTCGAATCATATATTATAATAAAAGTTCGGGAGAACCACCATGTAGGTGCAAACAAGGTTAAACAAGGTGTAATTATTAGTGATCACTACAAATAAGAGAAGTCTCAGAAGAAGATCGTCTGACTAATGAAAATAATAATAAAGGTGCAGGTTGGAGACTAACAGTGTTGCCTCACTCGGGTAGTAAAAAATTATCGCCGACTTAAACTGTAAAGATAGGCCACACACCGTCAACTTGTTAAACATGCGGCGAGATTAAATGCTTCATTAATGTGATTAAAGTAAAAAGCTGCTTGAATAATGAGTCTTCGTGAATTATTTGTCGGTCTGTATATTTGTGTTTCTTTCTCCTTTTCACTGAATCATTCATATTCGCCATATATTTGTTTGTTTTTATTATTTACTCCTTCGAAATTAGGTTTTAAAATCCGCCTTCTTTACTAATTTATCTGCGCGATTTTTTACCTTACCAAATATTTACATAATTAATTTTTTTTAATCCCCATAATCATGTTATATTTCATCTATTAAAAAGAAAACCACTTTGTCTAATGCGATTATTCTACACAACTTAAAAAAGGAGGATATTTGCCATTCGTTATTTGGATGTGCGAATGTTCCAACCGTCGGCGATAGAACTGCCATCGTGTTACCATACAAATGTCTTAACGAATACATACAATATGCATAGCTTTTGTATTTAAACTTAAAAGGGTGCGAATCAACACCTTTTCTTATACTTATCAGCCGCACTCAACAGTCGAAGATATGTTTTGGTATATTTTATATTCTTGCAACTTTTAAATTTACATTTCAAAAACAAATATTATTTCAGTAGCTAACATTTTTTTTCATTGACAACTGAACAAAACCACACTGAAAATAAAACTCTTGACGAAAAAAAAATTTTTTCGACTCAAGGAAATTTCAATAAAAAGAAAAATATTTTTTTCGAATTGAAAATTTTGATTCAAATATTAAAAATAGTCAAATAATGTAAAATTATTTGTGAACTTATATTATTTATGTTTTCATTCAAAATATGTCATTCTATCTCTCTATATAGAATAAACTTTTTCTATTTACGAAATATTTTTCTTAATTCAAAATGAAAGAATTCAACTCTAAGAAAATTAGTTCATTGGCTTCAAACTATCATACAACAGCACCGCTCTTGAACGACTCGTATAAACAAGTGGGTCTTTAACTTGATAGTATATGCTATAGTATATATGCTCTACTTATATATAGATAGTATACAAGGGCATAGTTCAAAATGGGTTTAAATCTTATCACTAGTTTCGTTTTCCAGTATTTTTTAATTATCAAGAAAATTACATTAAAAAATCCATAAAACTACTTCTTTGACTTACATATATGCATTTTATGCAAAAAGAATCATTTTTTAAGGTCGAAAAAATCTTGAACCGAAACGATTATTTTGAAATATTGATTTATCTTGAATTGAATATAAAAGTCTGGAATTAATGAATTTGTTGCATGAAATCAGGAACAAATGTTTTTTAATGAGATAGTCAGGTATACTTTCCTTAACGATATTAATATTATTGATTTAAGAACCTTTCCTTGACTCTAAACAGAAGTGTTTTTGGTGCAAAAAACAAATTTATAGACAATATCAACTAATCAATACTTGGAACTTGGACAAGCTAAGTAAATAATTTTAAAATGCAAATTTATGGACCTATTTAAAATTATATATATTGGGATTTATTTAAATTTGCACAAAACCATAGACTCGAATGTATATGAATAGGATCTAGAAATTCTGACAGAGGTCGTATATACATAAAATTCGTTCCTAATTGCAAAGTTATTTTAGATGTTTTATATCGTCAACCAAATGGCGATGATATTCACTTTAATTTAAATATTTTCAGATATATACCATGCGTATATAGTTTTGGGCAAATTTGAGTAGGTCACAGGATATATTCTAGAGTATGTAATTTTTTCGCCGGGGGTGATAATAAATTCAATTATTACCTTAAAAAAAATATCAATGAAACGTTGTAAAATTAAAAAATTTAACCTATTTAATTTCTCCAATTTCCTAATATTGTTTAGTTAATATTCAGCAACATAAGTCAAAACAACTTAACTTAAGGAACAATAATTTTCTTGGTTCAAATAAATGCTAAGAAATTAATATGGCAGAGCATTTGAAATTTGAAATGAAAAGTAAAATAAATTACAACGGTTTTACTTTGGTGTAGATTTACAAAAATATAAATGGATGCCCGAGTATGATACGGAAATAAAG